TTGCGAGAGGCGACCGAGGGCAGCTCATTGCTCAAAGTGTTGCTCAAGTCCCCCTGCAGAGTCTCTGCCGGGTGCCTCCCGGTGTCCTGCGAAGCTCAAACAAGTGCCTGGGAAGGCAGGGCTCGTCCCAGCCATCTGCCAAAGGGTGCCTGCTCTTCCCCTTCCACTCTGTGGGGTGGAAAAAGGACAGAAGTGCTTCCTATGAAGCTCCTGCTGAGACGTGCCCGTTTGGTCTGCTGGCTGACAGCGCTGGAAACAGATTGTTTGGGATTTGGTTTTCTACTGCATGGTCTAGGGGATCCGTCCAAGCCCCAGACCCACTGACCCGCATGATGAGCACAGAGAGCCGTAGGGGAAGCTTCTGCCTAAGCCCTTGGGGCAACAGCAGCCAGGTTTGGTATTCAGTAGCTGCAGATTTCCTCCAGCGCCCATAACAAACTTGGGAACACGTTCAGCACAGCCTTCACAGCAGTTGCTCCTAGAAACATTTGTGTCCATCAACTTCTTACATGGAAACGGAGTTTCCCTCCGTACCCCAGGCCAGCACAAGTCACCGTGAATCACGAAAATGCTTCTCAAGCTTGGGCTTAAGTGGGACTTACGTGATGCCTACGTTTTGGGCTGGTCCTTTGTAGTACGCTGAATTTCAGCCAAGAGTATGTGCAGAAAGCTAATACCCCGAAGGCAAGGTCGTGAAGGAACAGAAACCACTTCAAAATCCAAAGATTATCTGCAGCACTTTTTCTGTGTGTGCAGTATTTTCCCAAATACAGCTCAAACCCTAGAGGAAGGAGAGATTCACAGCCTCTCTGTGCTGAAATACTGCTATGTTGCTAAGTCTGTTACTAGGCAAAACATGTTTTAGCAGCCTCGAAAACGTTTTCAAAACACAAGGGAAGATTCTTCTGTTTGTAAACTGGATCTGAACTTCTTTTCTTTGAAATTAATGGAACTATCACACTCCTCAATTCTGGTAGCTACCGAGAAACAAAATCAAACCAGCTTGGGTCTGTGCATGGCCAGGGAAAAAGCAGTCCAGCTTTGTGCACTGACTCCTCTCCATGCCCATGGTGCTGAGTTAAACCCAGGTGATCTCTGGTGGCAGGGAGGAAGAAAGAAACGTGCCGCACAGGGGAAGTGAAGCTGATTCATGGCTAACTGCACGATATTCCTGCCTGTCCCCTCTTCGGGGGGGGAGCAGTGTTTGCAGTTACGTCTAGCACCAGCAGATCTCCCCAGGAGCAGGCACTGCACACCGAGCCAGCATCAGGGGCCTGGCTGCAGAAGATGGCTCCATTTTTTCAGGCCGAGATGACGGGAAGGAGAAGTGGTTCGGTTTTGGAAAGCTTTGCCACGAAGGGGCACAAACAGCGCTTATCTCTTACGCTGATCACGCAGAGCATGGCAAGCAAAAACACGATGCCTATAATTTAAGTGTTCTGCTCGGGGATGGTGATTTACCTATCTGGAGTAACATCATGAGCCAGACACTTATCTTCATATTTCTAGGGCTGGATCTCTGCTGAAACATCACCACGGGGGCTGTGGCTTCAATTCAGAGTTGAATGCAGAAACATGAGCAACATTTTAAGTCGTGTTTATTTATATATTCATGCACATACGCACACCCAGCATTAAAAAAAAGCAAGCGGGACTTCTACTTGTGTTAAATTTGCAGCTTTCTGGTTTTGAGGATGTTTTGGACAAGCTTCAGTTCCAACATGAAACTTTTAGTTTGTGCATCCCTCAGCTCCCAGCTCCTGGAGCCACCCTGACTTCTGCACCATGCAGCCAGAGGATTTCAGCTGCTTACCCCTCCCTTACTTCCAATAGTGTTAGTTCGGTCAAAGGCCTTCCTCCATCGAAAAAATGGCAGTCCACCACTACATTTTCCCATATTCAGCATTATACAGAGATAAACAATAAAAATCTATGCATAATATACAAGTACGTGTACAATGCATAATAGTTTTAAGTGTTCCCCTGTGGTTTCAATGAGCTGTAAACCTTGCACTTGCTCTCAGTAAGGCTAGCAACACGTATAAAAGGATTATCACATAAAAATGAGACACGCTGGCAGTCCAACTAGATCTGTGGATGCAACCACTGACAGTAAATCCATAGCAAGACGGGGACAGCATTTTGGGTCAACTGGGAAATGACAGCTGCGTGAAATCTTTTCCTAGAGGAAGATCGTTGTTGTATTTAGGGTCTTGAGACAGTGGGGATCTGGTTAGACTTTTGTGCGACCTTGGTAAAATGCTTGTCTCAGTGCCTGAATTGCAAAACGGTAATCATAACATCACCTCTGCCTTCCTTCCTGGCTTAAATCAGAAACTATTCGGGATCGGGACTGTCTCCTCCTTTGTGACTAGACAGTACGTAATATAATGGGCTAATTACAAAATAAAAAAAAAAATAATGAGCCTGTGCTGACACAGAGCCCCAACAGATAGCTCTCTGCAGTCCAAAACACCAACACACAGCTCGGTGGCTTGAGCAGTTCCCATCCTGTAGAGAAAGACATCCACAGGTAGCTCGCCCAGCCCCGCATCAGAGCCCGGCTGAACTCTGCAGGGTGGACAAGTAAAGGCTTATTTAATAACATCCTCATTTCAGCAAGAGATCCACGGCAGTTTAGCACCCGACACCCAAAGCCTAAACATACGCGACATCCTCTCTTGCTTTCCACCTGGCTTGTACCATTTTCCACCCTTAACAGAGCTGGTCTGTACTAACCAGCCAGCAGTACTTGGAAATCACATTGAGCCTTTCACCTCTGATTATTTTAGCATGCGCAGGGTAGAAGTCACTTGCCTGAAGAAACCCAGAACTGAGAAAATGAAATGAACACAAGAATCCTCAGCTCCTGTCAGCAGCGCCAGCTCGGAGCCAGGCCGGCCTTCTGAGCTCTTACTGCTGGCAAAATCCTGGAGAAGAATCATCTAATCCTAATTATTCTGCTGCAACAAACGCTGACCTGTCTGCTGCTAGGAGTGGAGTTGCCTGAGCTGGATCAGAAGCTGGAAGTTAGGAGAACTGGATACCCGTGAGTGTCCCCCTGCTGTCCCAATAGTGTCTCCCCAAGTGTCCCACGGGATATTCCCATGGGCACTGTTTGTAAGCAGCGCTCCTCCGAGCTCCTGCATCTCTTCGCCAGCTTCAGCAGCCCCCCAGCTTCAGCACACCCCTCAAATTCAGCAGACCCCAAACATCAGCAGCCCCTCTGTCCCCTGCCCCAGTCCCTGGCGGTGCCAGCAGCGATGGCATTTAGTGACATCCCTGACAGACTCGTCTGACAACTCAGGGCTTTGTTTGCAGAAGCCATCCCAACAGATGGCCACCACTCGAGGCATCAGCCTGCCTTCTATTTATACACAGGACCTCCAGGCGCAGATCTGTGCTCCCGGCCTCCCCGTGGCACTGCGGGGAGCAAACGGGGCAGGGAGAGCTTGGGGTGAAGGCTCAAAGGGGCTTTCTGCTGAGGCTACGTTGCACTTTACGCCTTGGGAGACGGGGTGCTTTGCCTCCTTGGCAGTTCAGTGAGCAGATGATCCCGGCAGGGAGCATCCCAGTGCCGTGCGGTCCCGAAGCTCCTGCTGCTGAGCCCGCACGCTGTTCCACAGCATTCCCGAGGCAGAACATCCTTGTCTGGGCTTTTGCTGTTTGCTGCTCATCTGAATTTTAATGATAAATTGTTTGGAGGATTTCTAGCAGGCTGGAATAGGGCGCAGAGAGCTACTTCAGGCCGGGCCAGCAGAGGACTTGTCAAAGCGTCCTGAGCTCAGCACCGAGACAGCCTTACCCAGCTGGCGGGATACATTTGCAACAAGCATTCTTTGCACTTAGGATATTTTGCCCCTCTCTGTCTCACTTTCTGCATTTAACCTTCCCTATCTTGCACACCGAGGCTTTGGTTTCATTTCTTGTCACACGTTACTTTTCTCAGGCTAGAATACGAACCACAGACATTGTTCCTCAGCGAACGGTGAGGCGAGCCCAGGGCTGACGGTCAGCCTCGATGGCACTGTCGTACAGGTGAGGACGAGTTTCATTCATAGCACCAGGCTGCTTTTTCCCTCTAGCTACTCTGAAAGGTGCCCGTCTGTCTCTCCAAACAAGCGCAGAGCGTGAAGCCACCAGGCTCTTACCATCTTCATTTGCAGGCATCATGTATAAAAGTTAAATGTCTGTACGTAACTACAGATCACCGACAGACTTAAGGAGCGTAAGTAGGACAAGGGGAAACACACAGGGGATTTTCTGGATGTGCCAGTGGCAGTCTGACATCTCTCCCTAGACCTGCATGTGCGTGTCCCTGTATTTATGGAAAAACACAGCAGCGAGGCTGAAAAGCCACCGAGTTCTGACTGGTATCAGCAACAAAAGGGAAACTTAGATCAGGAAACCTCCAAATGCCGGCTGGCTGCATTTGCATCCTAAGCCCACGGTCCCACTTCAGGAGTCACCACGCTCCAAACTGAACCATTAGGAAGTTACCCGTAGGTTGCTGCCTAATTCATTTCCAGCATAAGCACACGCAGGGCGATTACACCGGGGCATTTCTCAGCTGGACAAGACCAAACCTAATGCTCTGCACTCCTGAAATTCCCTTCTGTCCCCCTTTCTTTCGGAAAGATCAACTCGTGCGTGGATTCAGGAGGATCTCCCGGGTGACCGAGTTTCGCCCCGGCGACAGCACCGAGCGCAGGAACGCCGGGCTTTGATTTCAGCTTGGGGAGGGAGGGGGGGTGTCCGGAAAATCGCCTTTATGGCGACCCCAGGCTTTGCCGGGGGGGCACCTGCCGCCCCCGGGACCCCGCAACCTCCCCGTGTTCCGTGTCCCCGGGGCGGCTCCGGGAGCGCATCCCCGGCTGTCCCCGGCCCCTTGGAGCCGCGCATCCCCCTCCGCGGCCGCGCATCCCTCAACCACCCCAAAACGAGACGAGAGGAGGGCAGGGGGGGGGGAAGAATAAGCAAGAGACCGAGCCGCCACTTACGCCCGGGCTTTGGGGAAGCCCATGGAGAGCAGGATCTCCAGCGACGAGCCATGTTTGATGGTCCCCGCGCGGTGCTGCCGGTTCCGCCGGGGGATGACTTTGCTGTACAGCTCCTCTTTGGCAGCCATGGCGTGCGGGGCGGGCTGCCCGCGCTGGGCCATCACGCAGCCATCGCCACCCGCGCAGGGCCATGCACACCCGCAGCGCCCCGCCGGGGGCCGCGGCCGGGGCAGGGCCGAGGGGCTGAGCCCTCCTCCGCTCTTTTCTCCCTTCCCCTCCGCTCCTCTCCCTTCCCCTCCGCTCCTCTCCCTTCCCCTCCGCTCTTTTCCGCTCCCCTCCGCTCCTCTCCGCGCCCCCGAGCCCCGCCGCCGCCTCCGCCGCCCGTGCGCGCCCCGCGCAAAAGCCGCGCAGAGCCCCCGCGGCCGCTCGGAGGCTCCGCAGGAGGCCCCGAGAACCCCCCCCCCCGCCGCCGCCCCCGCTCTTAAAGCCGCCTCCGGGGCGGGCGGGCGCGGCCCCGGCCCCGGGCTGGAGCCGGCTGCTGGAGGAGAGCCCCAAAAGGGGGCTTTAAGGGGGGCGCAGCGCAGCCCCCGCTCCCCCTCGGCGCTCCGGGGATGCGCTGGGAGAGGGGCAGGGTGCGCGGCCAGCGAGGTCGCTGCCGGAGCAGGGAGGGGAAGGGCAGGCTGGTGTTGAAAAAAGCAAGGAGGACGCGCACACGAGCCCATGTTTTTGTTTGTTTTGGTGTTTTATTTACATTTATTTTTTTATTTTTTTCTTAAGCTCGGCACAGGATTGCCCTAACGGAGGGGAGGTCGGGCACCCTGCACAGCACTGGGGCTCCAGGGGCTCAGTGTGCAGCTTGGCACGGCTTTGAAATGGTAGCACCAGTGGTTAAACTACACCTACTTAGAGGCAAAAGAGTCGTGCTCCAGATTTTCCACCTCCATCCTGCCTTTCTGCATCCTCCTCGGCCCTCTCCAGGCCACCACGCGGAATATATGGCCTGAAAGCTCTCCAGTTGCAGGGCAGGGACTGCTCTGCCCCGGTTAAAGCCCGCCGGGACACAGCTCTGCTCCTCTCCCCGCTGCCCTCCCACACAAAAGCTGCGTGTTCCTCCGGGCTGGGTGGGACTGACGCTGCTGCTGCCTCCCTGGTTGCATTTCAGTTCAGATCACGGGTTGATGTGGTTGAGTTCAAACCCAGGGGTTTACACGTGTGCTCTCCTGGCAAGAGACATCCTCCTGCTCTCACCTCTCCTTTGTGTGCCTCCTGCCATCCCCTCCTGCCTCTGCTGCAGCACACAGCCCCCTGCCATCCCTCCTTTGGACAGACAAGCACATCACCCCCTCATCTCCCCAGAGCAGGCCCAGCTCGCAGGGCTGTAGAGAACAGCTTGAAATCCCATCCCTGCACATAAATAAAAACAATCAAGAGGCCCCGCTTTAAAACACGGTAGTTTATGTTGGGGAAGGAAGCAATGCTGGCGACGACAAGCCTAGCACCGCGATTATTAGCATCAGGGAAAACAAACAGCCCGCTCCCATTTTGTTGTGTCGGAGGCAGGAACGTTCCCTCGCAGCTCTGGGCTTGTTCCCCTCCTGTGCTGCAGCGGATCTGTGCTCAGGACTTCTTTCTGCCTGCCTTCCCCAGAGGTGCAGGGAGGGCAGAGGTCGCTGTGAATTCCCCTGGTGTTGCTGAGACACTTCTTCTTTCCTTTGCCCCCGCTATAAAGTCGGTGGGTGAAAGCAAGGAGCATGCAGCTTCCAAGGACTTTGCCCAGATCCAAACCCCTTTCCTTTAGCTGCTACAGATTTGTATGATCAATTAAAAAAATCACTTTCTACAAGCTAAAGTATTGAAATTCTGTTGGTTGGGCCTGAAGATGAATTGCCACAGGTAACCCCACGGGAAGCATCAGCAATGCTACAAGACACGGGAAGGAAAAAAAATAAGATGTTTGCACACCTAGGCTAGCTGAATGCATCACTGTAGTTAGTCCACCAGGTAAAGTTGCTGCACACCTGATGGAAATGTTTTCTTGGGCCTGCTGAGAACCACCTCTGGTCGTTGTGACTTTAGTGAGCGCCTCTGCGTTGGATCTGGCTGAGCTTCTCTGCATTAGAATGCGTTCCGTGAGACAATGCTGCCTCCCACTTTTTTCTTTTTTTTTGATTGAAAGCTGAAAATGAAAGCTGTCTTAGTGATGAAATAGGAAAAAATGAAAGAAATTTAAAAGTAGAAAGCAGATTAAAAAAAAAGAAACACCTGGAAAATTGAGTTGCAGTCACCTAGAAGAAGAATACTTTGCGTGAAAAAATGGAAAGGCGTGAAAACGCTGTGCATATAAGCAAACTGCAATGTGTGGTTTATTTTAAAATACTGTCAGGTTTTTACACAAGACCTTTTTTTTTCATGTGGCCTTCCCTCTGCTGGCCTGAACCTAGCGATCAGTCTGGGTGCTTAACTGGGTGCTGTTAATCATTTTCCCGACTTCAAGGCAAGAGCTTCCGGGTGCCCTGAGCTGGGCGCGTGTGCCAGTCCCTGTGGCGACAGGCTGCTGGGGGCTCTCTCTGCTCTTCTTTTACTCATTTCCTCGGTGAAACACAAATATTAGCCCTTTACCCACAGGAGAAGGCATTCTTAGGGCATTCTTTGTATCGCTTCCTTCGCGGGTGGAAGAAAGGCAACGCAGAAGTGATCGGAGGGGGTGCAAAAAATGCCCTGCTGGACAGCGAGCGGGAGCCGTGCTGTCCACTTCAATGGGAAGAGGTCAGGCTCCGAAGGAGTTTGAGCCAAATTTAGCTGCCTTTCCAGCCTGATGCTACCTCCTCGCATTGGCATGCGAAGGGTTTGCTCTCCAACAATGGAAATACTCTGAAATAAACAGCACAACAGCAGGAAATGGAGCCGAGGCTTTGCTTTCCTCCTTCACAACTTCCCTCCCTTAAAAAAAAAAATGGGGTCAGATGCTTGCAGAAAGGCCTTGCTCAAGAAAGGGCGGCTGGATTCTTAAGGGTGGAATAGCGCTGGTGCCCTGGGGACAGGATGTGGGGCTCCTTTGGGGCCAGCACCCCTGGAGAAGCAGCGGGGACGAGCCTGCCCCTTCTCCCACCCAGCCCTGGAGAAGAAAAAGAGCAAAGAAGTAAGGCAAACACTGAGCGAGAGCTGCAGATAATTGCAAGATCGCCGTTTCCTAGACTTCGAGCCTGATCTTGCAATTATTTGCATGCCTAAGTTATTTTACATACCCAGGTCCCCCACACGGCAGCTTCAGACCCATCTGCAGCTGGGGGAGGAGGGCGACAGCCGGCAGCCTCCCCAGGATCTCGCTTTGCTCCTTGTACTATCTGTGGTGTTGACACACCTCTGGGGCCGAGCATCTGAAAGCGTTAAATAATTAAAAATAAAAAGAGTCTACCCTAAGCACTTTTTTCCCTCTTTTTTTTTTTTTTTTTGGGCCTCCCGAGTTTCCAAACGTCAAGAAACGGTGATTTATCGCAGAAAAATGAACAGCTGCTGTACACTTGATTCGAAACTGCATGAAAATTGTGCTGGAATTATTAGTTGGGTTTTTTTACAGAGCAAAGACCAAGGTGACTTCAGCAACCTTCGGCCCATCTCCTCTGCAGTTCCTTATTGCTCCCTGGCAGCGCTGTGACCGCTCGGGCTTTGTGCTCAGCACCCATCCCAGCATGTTTGGAGAGCATCAGGAAAGTGGCAGAACAGCATTCCTGAGAGCAGCTCAATCTTAAAGCCTAAAACTCCCCTGTCCAGCTCTTTTACCTGGTTAGGCTTCGGTCATTGGGCTGGAATAAGCATTTAGCCGTGGCTCTGTCCCGCAGGGATGGTTTTCTTCCTTCGCTCAGCATCCATCTGCCTAGGTACTTAGTGAGCCTCCTCTCCTCTCATCACCGCAACATCTGAGTCCCTCCAGAGTATTAAAAAAACAGAAAGAGCAGCTGGCTTGGGGGAGAACAGGATTCTGGGTTTTGTCCAGGAGGACAAACGCTCACCCTTCACCGCATCTACCTAACCTCAGCCCTCCGCCGTGAGGTTTGGGCTGTGGGATCACCCCCTGAACCCAAACCCCGTGGTTATGGCCCAGGGGCCGCAGCCCCTCGCTCCAAACCCCGCTGGCTTCGGCAGGGAGCAGCTGGGGCTGGGCCCTGCGGGACCCCAGCTGGCCGGAGGGACTGGAGAATTTGCTTTTCTGGCTTGGATTTTCTTCCAGCCTGGAGTGTATTTTCCTCGTTACAAATAAAACCCGCTTTGATTTCACCATAAGCCTTGCGTTTGTGCACGGAGCTGTGGAGTGGAGCTGGATGGCGAGGCACGAGCAATATTTCACTCGGAGAGCAGAGGGCAGGGGTGACACCTAGTGCAGCCTGCCTTCCTCTCAAGCCCCGTTCTCCGTGTAAAAGGCAGGCAAAAGGACATGTATTTGGAAATGTTTTGAGTTACTTCTGGTTGGAAGGCAATGGGGGATTCTGTGTGAGGACGACCCCTGGCTTTCTCGCTGGAGGTGAGTAGGAAATGATTTATTGCGCCAGGCCGTCTCCTCTGGAGCCCTGTTCTTGTGCTTTGGTGGCCCCATGGAGTGAGGACACTCCGAGTACAGGACAGCAGAATTTGCCTGCAGGGACCAAATCAGCTTCCTTTGGCAGTGTGAGCAGAATGGGCTTCTGTGGGTCATTAAAAACGGAACAAAACAACACTGATGTAGGAGCAGGGAGTGGCTGAGGCTGTGCAAGGATGGAGCTCGCCCTCCCCTAACCTCTGCAGCACCGGGTTCTTCATAGGTATGGCAAATAAATGCAAGCAGCAAAGCTTCCTTTTCATTTCTCCTTGCAGACGTGCTCGTGGCAGCCGTGCAACTGGCTGGGGAAGTGCTGAACCGCCTGCTGTGCGCGGCCGCTTGCAGAAGCTCTTCACTGCCATAGGTGGGATTTTCAAAGGGAACTAAAGCCACCAGGAAATTAGCATACTGCTACCAAATCCTCCGAGGCTGGGCTGGAGCAGCATGGTTAGCTGGTTCCCGTCATGGTCTGCGCTGTGTAATCCTGCTCTCTGGTAGTGGGGAACAGTTGAGCAAACAAAAGATTAATGGGCTCTGAGCGTCTGGCCCATGTGCAAGAAACATCTTGAGCACTGGCTATCTTATCTGTTGGATTTCATGTCTGTTCCTGCTACACTTGTATGAATCTAGTTTATTGCTATGATTATTTATTTGCTTGGGTATAAGCCAAGAAATAACGAGACACAATAGAAAGCTGCTGGGATTTCCCCAACTCCCACACACAGTAAAATATGCTGATGTGCTGGAGGTTGCACAAAATCTGCAGCGTTCCTGCAAAGGCCTTTCTTCTTGACTCGTCCTTCTGTCGCAAGGAGCAGTTCTGTTGTGATTTGCCGAGCTGCATTCCTGTGTCATTAAAGGGGCTCTTGTCAGATTACTCCAAGGAAAAAACGTATTTGTGTGATTTAATAGTGATAAGGAGAGGAAGGGGGGGGTGTTATCATCGCTTGAAATCTTCCTAAGTCTTCTGTGGAATTATTTGACAAGGTAGAAAGTTTGGTGATTTGGTTTGTCGCAGAGACAGTAACAACCTAAAAGCAGCTGAGTGATTCTAAGGATTGCTTTGCTTCCTTTCCTCATTTTTCTTCAGTTATTTGTGGTTCTTAGCTTTCATCTTTTCGGACGCTGCAGCAGCCTTTCAGTGGAGAACAGAGGGAAAGTGCTTACCAGCTAAAGTGAAAACAGTTCATCAGGTTTTGTGAGGTTCATTGAAACAGAAATAATAAAAGAGCAATAAAGCAGGAATGGTAGGAATAAGCAAAAATTGAAGAAATGTTAGTAATGTACTCATCAAACATACCTAGGAACATAAGAGACTATTTTTTAATGTTTTTGATAACAATTTTATCTGGAAGACAGCACGTTAGTAGTGCACATCTTTGTGTTACAGAAGAGGTTTATTTCACGTGTATGTGTACGTCCACTGTAGCTGTATTTCTGTGGCGTGATCCTCCTTCAAGATGTAATTTCAATGTGAGCGAACACAATCCAACCTCCTGCTTCAGCTGCAAGTGTTTGCAATTTGTTTCATATTTAATTCTTCATTATGCGAATGGCTAAAAGATAGAGGCTGTTCTCTGTAAATTAAATTCCGCCGTGTGCGGCTCCATGTGTAGCTCCTTGCAATCACTTACTAAAATGTTGCATTCCTACTTAGAGCATAAATTTACATGATGCTTTGATTTCAGCTGCTACTGGCTTTATCTGACTGAGCAACGCAGCAAATTAAACACGCTCCGTCCTTTTGGCCCAAACTCTCATCTCTATTAATGACACTCAGCATAAACCTTGCTCGTGTCATCTGCAAGAAGAGCAATTAAGATTTACGAGGTAAGGCCACAGTTCTGGGAGTGCACACGTTTAATTTTTTTTTGTCTTTCCTGCTCATTGTAGCCTCTCTGCACTCCCAGCAGTGAAATCAAGCCCTGTGCATCAGCCTCTGCTGGACGGGGGCCCGAGGTAAGGCTCGATGCCGTGCTCAAAGCATCACGTAAAAATCAGTGCGTTGCTTTGTCAGTGCTTTGTAGTTTTGTTTACCCAGCCCTGCTAGTAGAAGTAGCTTGCAGCCGTATCATCCTCCTGGTGTTTCTGGTTAGGATTTTGAGGGGTAAACAAAACAAAGCAGGCCAACAAGGAAAGAAAAGAGTTCCTGTTTGCAAATAATTTCCCATCTGTTTCTCATTCTGTTTGACTCCGGGGAACATTTCCACACTGTATACATCTCATTTTAAAGAACACGAAGTCGAGATGAATGCTTTGAGCTTCCTACTCCTGAGCTGGATCCCTCTTCCACTCGGTGTGTGTAAACGGCCCCCGGCCCTGCAGGGATCCTGGCTGTTAGGCTGGGCTGAGAGCGACCCCGGAGTAATCCCAAGCGAGCTCCAAGCAGCTGCCTAATAGGAGAGCTGCAGGGAAGCGTTGGCTGGCTCCAAAATCAGAAAGAGGAGAAGCTGGAGGTGTGATTGCTGTAGGGCTCGGTGGCCAGGACAGGAGCCCAGGGCAGGAGGGAGCTCAGAGCCTGGTGAATATTGTGTGTGAGAGCCATCAGTGCAGCTGCTGCAGGAGCTTTCAGCCCCAGCAAACTCAGGAGCAATGGCCCCTTCGGGTCGTGGCCGAGGGAGATTTTTCCTGGGTCCAGGCATCCTTGCAAGGGGAGGGAGGAAAAGGCGCTACCATGCAAGGACCCAGCTCTTTTCCACCAGGGTGTGATCACAGACCTCCAAGCCAAGGCTGAAGCAAGCCTGGTGCTCTTTCCCTGCACTGGGCTGGATTTTGGTGCTGCACTTCCCTCTTGTGTTAGCTGCTAATACTGTATTTCCTCTCTGCTGCATGCTCAAAAGGCTCGGGGAGAGCCTCACATCCCTCTAGACTATCCCCCAAATCCCAGTCTGCTGAGCTTTAGGAATGGTGTACAGCTCTTGTTTGCCTTTCCTCGATTTTCTTCTTCCCCAGAGTTGCTGGAATACTTGAACAATTCCCCCTTCAATTTTTGATTGTTTTATTTTCTTGAGGCAGGAGCCCTATTTTCATACACCGAATATAGCGTGAGATGATTCTGGCCAGCCTGCAGACCATATGGCTGAGGCCCCCAGAAGAGGAGATGCCCTGAGACAGTGACATTTGGTCTTTCTTATGAAAGAGAGGTCCACGTAAGGACAGATTCCTCCCAGGAGGGCAAGGTCCCGCCTGTCCTTTCACGCTCCATGGAGTTTAAACCAGCCTGCAAATAATATTGGGCAAATCAGGGTCCGCTCCCAGAACTATTAGGTCTGAAGTGTGATCGCACACCTCAATATTTTCCAGGCAAGAGATGGAAGTGATGAGGTTTTCTGTCTGCAGCTGCATCCCAGCACATTCTTCTCGTTTTTGCTTTAAAGAAAAATCATGTAGTAGTGAAAGCACCAAAATTACAGCCAGTCTGGCAAACTATTTCTCACTGGGGTGAATAAGAAGGTCAGAGCTGCTCAGTTACAGTGGGACAAACCCTCTTTTCTCCTGGTCTAGCTGTTCCTAAGCTCTTTGCCAGAGGTTAAAGTCTCCGACCCACCAATATACCCGCAGAGGTATTTCAAAAAGGGGAGCTGCTATGGCATGTATGGAAATTCTCCTTTATTGCTGAATGATTTCACTGCGCTCTGCACAATATTTGAGTGCTTTTTTTTTGACAAAGCAGAGAAACCCAACAAACCGAAACACAAAGTGGTGCAGCAGATGGGGCACAAGATGAGGCATCCTCATAACGTATACAGGCAGATGCCCGTCTTCCTCCCTCAGCTCTGCGTTTGACACCATAAGGAAGGCAGACGTATGAGTTCTGATCAGCTTCCCCTGACTTAGCTGTGCTGAAAGGGACTTCTACTGCCGAATATCGCACGGAAATGTTTTCCAGTCATGTCTTCGGGAGGCTGAGAGCCGCTCTGCTGAAACGTACGTCTCCATGGTGAGATGCCTCTACCTGTTTAGCAAAAGGTCCCCTCGGGCATGTGAGTATGGACTTTCTTTCTGTTTTTTCCATACCAAGTAGGATTGCTTGATGCTATTTACTGTGCACTGTGCTATTGATTTGGTGCAGAGCCGAGGAAGTTTGCAGCAGGTCAGGTAAAGAGAGATGAGAGCACTTGGTTTTAATGCAGACCTCAAATGCCTTGTTTCCATTTATCCCTCTCCTTGAAAACTTGGCAATTATGTATTACAAAACAAGGAGGGGAAGAAATGAATCAAGGTGCAGTATCGGCAGGCCAAGCGTGTGATGGAAGATGAGGTTTTCAGACATGACGTGGGACCTTTTAAAGGGCTGCAGTAGTGTCCTTAGCTGGAATGGGATCCTGAGCCAAACGCTGCCTCTCGGAGCGCCGTGCGGGGCTTTCGCAGCGGTGGTGGAGACAGGATTGGGGCTGGTTGGTGATGAATGGCCATCCTCAGAGGTACATGAGAGCTTTCAGCACAGAAATAATAAAGCCAGCTAGTCTGATCCACGGCAAGACAAACTAAATGAACTGGCTTCATTCATTCCTACGTGCTCGGATTCAGTTTAGGGGTTAGCTTTCAGCCTGGTTGCTGTCCCATTGAGTCTGGGCTGAGGATGTCTTATTTTCTGCCTCGAACTTATCCCCACAAGAAGGTTAGCACACTTCTGACCAGGGGCAGCTGTATTTCAGCAGCAATTACAGGATTACAGCAAGCCACCTCTTTCCATTTTGGGGCTGAATCAGACTTTTCCATGCAAGGAGGTCATTTTCAAGACATCTCTTGGAAGTCCTGAGTCCCTGCAGGCCAGGGGAAGCCAAAAGTTAACTGCTGTGCCAGGCTCTGCACAAATGTTTGCTGTTAGCAAGCAACGAGCCATCAGGCTCCCAACAGACACCTGGCTACCCTATAAAAGCAGCTATGGGGACACAGCAACTGCTTTGGTGAATCAGATCTTCCTGGCTGTGGGGTGGAAGAACACAGTAACTCGAAGAGAGGTTTGTTTGCCTTTGCTTTGTTCTCACCCCCTCCTTAGAGCTTTGTCAAGTTTAATTTCTTGTAAACCAGTCATATTAAAGTGCAAAGAAGAACAGAAGCTTTCCAAGGGGGGTGGGGGGAGTTTCATTAATCAGCTGGCAATTCTGGGTGTGGGGTGATGGCTTTTCTGTTGGCGAGGAGACTTGGTGATCAGCAAGTTCCTTTGTGGTGTGTGGTTACAGCAAATAGCAGTGTTATTTTGGTGCATACAGACTGGGGTCCAGTGTCCCCTCTGTTTGTTGTAGGAATTGCTAGGAAGAGAGATTTGGGATGAGCGTGCCTGTAAAGTTTTGGTTTCTGGTTGCTGGTCTGGACCGGATGGCTTGGAATTACGGTGTGATTGTAACTGGGATTTCAGCTGGTAAAACTGGTACCTGCCTTATACCTGAGCTTCATCCTGTGGGTGTTCTTCAGGAAAGCTTTTGGAAATGACCCTCCCAGCGTGCAAGTAACCTTGAAGTTTTTTTTTTTTCTGGATGCCCTATTGGAGCTCAGTAGCAGCTTTCCCATCATTCTTACCCATTTTTAATGGATTAATGGATCCTGGGCTTCTGGACCTGGAGGTGACAAAAGCAGCTCAGTATCCAGACACCTTCTGTCTGGCCTCCCTGCTCAAAGAGCACAGCAGTGAAAGGAAGGCCTGGAGACCTTTTTAAACCAGAATGCAGCTTTTTGCCCCATCTAGTGGGTACACCATGTATTGAGCCAGTATGTGAACACTTCATAATTCCAGCATTCATCTCTCCTGATGCAGTTCCAAGTCCCTGAGTTGAAGTTTTGCTTTTTGGCTGTTTCTGAGCAGTGCTTGCATGCGTTAAGCACAGAGATCCCAGCTTTTTGGCTCAGGTGCTGCCTTGGCAGAGGACCTGCAGGTGGTGACCATCCTGTTCCCCTACTGACAGCACGTGGCCCTTCAGCTTTAAATGGTGCAAGGGAACTCTTCAGAGTGCGATGAGGGTATTTTTGGCATTTATGAGAATAAGTGAGAATAAGAACTTTTTATTGTTAAGCAAGCTCACTTGGCCCAGGGTAAAGCATTAAAATGCTGGCACAAAATTAACCTCACTTTCTTAGCGATGCTGATGAGCTTCATGTCTGATACCCTGGCTGATCTCAGTCAATTTGATTTTTTTACAATGCCATTACAGAGCTGACATCCAAGACCTGAAGGCTCCTTCCCATTTTCCTGTGTGTCACTGAGTGCCTCCAGACTGCCCCGTGAGGCTCGCAGTGCTCCAGAAATCCTCTGGCAGAGCCAGCCCGTGGCTGTGCCAGGGTATGAATTGTAGGGCAGCTCTGCTGCCTGCCAGCGGGGAGAAATCATGCTCAGACCTCTGCAGAGGAGGGCATTTCTTGCAAGAGCTGGGTTTGTGCTAAGCAGCTTCCTGACAGGAGGATGAGCAGGGGATTTGGGATGGCAGAGCCTACACTGTCAGTGGGGTGCAGGAGCTGTGGGTGGCTGAGAGGGGCTGGGGTCCGACTGCACTTCCAGGAGGGTGTTGAGGACCCCACTGCTGCTGGAAAATAATGGGAACTGCAAGGTCTCGAGACACTCTGAAACCAGAACTGAAGCTCCTGGTTCAGCTGGGTGCTTTCCAAAGCTGCTCTGCTGCTGGCTCAGTAACACTTGCAAACCCGGTGTGTTTTCCACCCAGCAGAGCATGCAGCGCCTTCATCCTTACATACCAGTGGCTGACTCTTTGTCTCTTGATTCCACCAAGGGGTGAAATTTCCTACCTTACAGCAACTGCGTCTTAATTTAACACCTGTAAAACATTATTACAGTTCTTGGATAAAAAGTCTGAGTGGTAAGGGAGCAATTATTATTTCATTTACTCTAATATGCTAAAACGGATGGTCTTCTTTCAGGCATGCTTTTAATCTGGTTAAGCATTGGACACAATATGCCATGAGGGTAATAAAAAGTGTTTCAGGAAGGGAAGAGCTGGAGGAATGAGGACTTGGCACTATAAAGTGCAGTAACTCTGAATTTGTTCTGGTTATGTTAATCTTGCCTTGCTACTTAAGTCATTGCCTCCTCGTCTTTAGATAGCGGTAATTTGCTGACAATGACCTGTGCGAAGGATGGCGTTTTCAATCATTGCCTAAAGGAACAAGGAACTGAAATAACAATGTTAAGTCTCTAGAGGATGAGAAGAATTTATAGGTAGGCCCTGGACACGTTCTGCCTTTCCTTTCTCTGTTCCTGTGCTCGCTTTGCAGCTGCCCAAAGGCTGTGTTATGGGGAGGGCGTGCTGACCCTACAGCCAGAGCGCAGCCTGGTCCTGGAAAAAGTGCCATAAAACCTGCACGGCATCCTCTAGTCCAGAAGAGAGAGCAAGATGGGGATGGGGAGAGAGGAGCAGCACAGAAAGCACTACAAGGATCCTTGCAAAACTGTTCTCATGGATGCTGAGCCAGGATGGAGTGCTGTGACCCCCCAGCCTGGAGAGGGGACCCCCTCTTTGTGCTGCTGTGGGCAGCAGGGGGATAAAGGGGAGGGGGGCTGAGCCCATCTGTGGGCACAGCTCCCTGCTTGGGCAGAGGGGCTCGGCCAGGTTCACACATACCCACGTGTGGCTGTGCCATGGGGTTTTTGTGCATCTCCAGGCATGTACAAAGGAGCCGCACGGCAGGTTCCCCAACTTTCAGGGGTCTGAGAGCAATGATTAATAAGTGATTGCGGAGTGCTTTGAGATCTCTGGATAAAAGGAGCTATAGAAATGCAAACTATTATTATTTTCTAGGTCAGGGGAAGAAAGCAATTAGTTGTAGGCTGGTAATTTTCTTTTTCTATTTTATCTCTGCAAATGATTGTGAATAGAGGACAGCAGCAATTACATTGATGGGATGGAAAAAGGCCTTCCAACTTCTCTCGGACTATTTGTTATTTTTATAGCACTTTTTATATTCACTTTGAATTTTCTTTGAGGTGGCAGGAGCATTTAGTCTTTAGATCCTGGGGAGGGACCAAGCAAATCATTCTGGCAGTAACATTGGTCCAGTCAAAGGGCAGACTTTCAGAGCAGACGACCTCACAGCTTCCAGCAGCCTGGCTTTGGTGAATGCAGGAGCCCTTCTCTTTGGGGGTGCCGCGGAGCATGGCCAAAGCACAAGACTCCTATTTTTTATTTTTATTATTTTCCCCAGGAGGGCACATGTAGGCTTTGATAGGGAGTTTCTGTGGAATGTGTTTGTGGCAGGGCTCCAGCTCTCAGGAAGATTTCCAGTAGCTGCAAAAGGTGACACATGAAAACTTTGCAGGCTCATCTGGGGCAGGGAGAGGTGCCCCAGGAGGGGCTCTGTAGGACTGATGTGTGCAGGGGTGCTGGTGGCTGGGAGAAAGGATGGTCATGGGGCTTTGTTTCCTGGTACTAAGCATGTAGCCATGCAAGAGCTAGCCTGTTCTGCTTTAGTTTTAAGCTGGGGCAACCTCCAACTGAGAAAATCCCATCAGTGGCTGGAAAGACAGAGTGGGGAAGGATCTCCTGGTGCAGATCCTGTTCCTGCACTGGGGGAGCCAGATGCAGCATCTGTTCAGAGCTGCCTTCAGCTCAAACAGCTGGAAGTCCTTGCTAAGAGACTCCAGATATCTTCCGTGCAAACCTCTCTGCTTTCCTGTGCTGGAAGTTTTGAGGCAGAAAGTGTTGTCCTGTCTTAGGATTGCTCAGCACCAGCTGCTGGGCTCTGGGTCAGGATGTGTTTATAAACTGCTCACAGGTGGGTGGAATTGCAAACCATCATCCTTTGGAAAAGGTAATAAACATCCACACTTGGCTGGACTTCAAGAATGACAGGTTGCTTCAAAAAGCCTGAGGTTCTGTCACTTTCTTCCATCCAGGTGTGAGGCTGAGCCATGAGTTTTAGAAAGGTTTCACAGGGAAATGAAACTCCTTGCATGGAGCAGCTGCTGGCCCAGTGGGCCAGGTTCACACCTGGCACGTGGAAGGCTCCAGTCCAAGTCTGAGTCAGAAGAGATTTGACCCCAAGCATGACATTTTTCCAAGTAAGACTCAAGTCACGAGGGTATTTGGCTGGCCAGAGCACAGAGTCTCTCTGAGACCACGGTCCGTGCTGTGGTTTGGTCCCAGCACAGAGCATCTGACCCCAAATCCTTCACTTTCTTTTTGCTGTTCTGACAAACTAGTGCATCTCAATGGAAGCTGAAATTAAAAAAAAAAAAAAAATCAGACCAGCTGCAAGAGCTACTGCCAACCACTAATTGCCTTGCTAGTTTTGCTAGGGACACAGCTGCTAACAGGCAAAATCAGCAAGGGAGCAGAGGCTTGACTTGTGGTTGATTTGCATCTAGCTGGGGTCTGGAAGAGGGATATTGGATTTGGACCAGTTCTCATATGTTGGTGGACACTGGGGTTTAGGTCACTACAGATAGCTGTTGGGATTTACCAAGTGTTTGGTGCTTCTTTGTGTCCTTAGGCATCCCGTGAGCCTGAGCCATTGCTTCCAGCAGTTGCAGGGGACGTGAAACCAGATAGCAAAGCAGCTTACAATAATAATAACAAAACCCTCTCAGTTCCGTGGTCTGATAAAACATACAAGACTCACGGGATCTCTTCGGTCAAAGTTCAGTTCCTCACACTTCCAGTCAGCTCTAGGACGGAGGTGTAGCTCAGAGGGCTCCACGAAACATCTGGTGTATTCCCTGTCAGTTGCAAAATATCCAGTAACAAACTAAAGGGCTGCAGTGAAGACATGAAAAGCCATAAAGGTCAGAAAGAACTATGGAAAAAAAAAAAAGGCCAGAGGAAATCAATGCCATTGCAGGTGTCCGTAGCCTTTCCATAGGTGGTATGTGCATGAAATAAAATTCCCAGTTAATAATAAGAACTGGAGCATGGTCTGAGGCAGGGTGAAGCAGCAAACCCAGCTGTCCCTGACAATTTGAGCCATGGAGAAAATTCTTCCTTGGTCTGAAACTGGCCATCAGTTCAGGGCTGCA